CACGGATGTAATTATTGTCATTATTGTTATCGACTCTGATCTTCGAAAAATAATAAAACAAAGTTCATTGATTTGTATAACGTTCAGCAATTCCTATTACTTATGAGTAACAAGGTTTAGCTGAAAACTTTAAAACTAGAATACAATATCTTTAGAAAAGGTCAATATATTACGTACATGGCAATATATATTCGACATTTACAACTGCAGAAATGAATAAACAGGAATGCGTGTAATAGAACACAATTGCATTGCATTCCAAAATTCAAATTTTTACTCTATGTACAGATACTACCAATAAGATACGATCTTACGACATCTTGAACTGTATTAGTATTTAGTAATATTAGATGAATATTGTCTTAAACATAATATATTATATTGAAGAAACCTCATGCATTTATTATTTTATTCAGTGATGTTTTTTTTATGTATCATTGTAAATTATATGAATATATTTAATATATCTCTAGAAGTGTCTAATATACTCATTCACTGGCTATTAATTGAATCAAGTGGGTACCTGAAAATTGTATTTTTATTTATTTATTTTTATTTTTTTTTATTTTTTTATTAGGGTTAAGGCTTCGACAACTGAGGTCATTAGCCTGGGGGAACTGTAGGGGAAGGTACTGTAGGTTTTAAACACGTGGGTAAATTTTATTAATTAATGTAATTTATTCGTACTTACTTAGTGTATTATGAGTACCCAAGAGTAATATTGTCATAATTGTGTCTGTCTTGTGTTATTCTGTAGCCAATTGCACATCATTTATAAAAAAAAAAAATAAAATGTTTTATTTTCATCGAAAATCTCAAGATGCTTGTGCCAATTGTGCCAATATCTCTTTTAAGTACACCTCTACACAGTGGTACAAAGGTACTAAGAAAATGTCTAGCATCTACTATCTAGATATCATATTTTAGAATCTATATTGATCAGATGGTCAGTCAAGACAAGTTCGATTATAATAATACATAGGTATGTATAATAGAATGTATACATTGTATCTGGATATAATATAATATATATTGAATATTTTTTTTGTTTTATTATAGCATTATAAAAATTAATACATTCCTATACAGAATTAATTTTACTACATATAAAATATAAAAGATGTAAATACATATATTTTTCATAATGTCATCATAATTACAAAAACGATGAAAATATATGCTTGAAACTCACTTTTAAGATTTATGACTTAGTTTATAAACTTTTGTGGCATAAGATGTTTTTAAAAAGTATTCATTTATAAGCTCTCTGTGAATAAATATAATTTCTACAATATATATGCCATAAATTAAATAATTTTTTGAATTAAAATTGTTCATGTTTGGTGGACATCACAATTTGATTTATATTCTAATCATATTAAAAAAAAATCGCAAGTAGACATTTTTTTTAAAAAGCTTAAAAAGTTTTTAACGTAAAATATGATTTTGATTTATTCTTGTAAATGAATTGCATTTAAAACTTTTTCAATATTATACATAATACCTACTAATAATATAAATTAACAAATTGTAAAACAATAATTAAACTATCTGAATTTTTAAATAATTTTGAATATATTCATCTAAAATTAAGATTGTTACGCATAATTCTATAATATCAATAATTAAAATTATTTTTAATTCATTTAGAATCTATAAATGTAATGTTTATTTATTCGATTAAAAATGGTAAAATATAAATAAATAAATAACTATATATATATGTATATATTTATATTTATAAATATTATAAAAGTGGATTCAGATTTACTAATTTTAAATTATATAATATAATAAAAATAAATGAATATATTGAATAATGAAATTGTATTTTTAATATGAATAGGTAATTATTGTCTAGTATAACAGACAATGAACTTCTGACTATGAGTATGTTCATCCGGCTATTGTCATTGTTATACTATATTGTCAAAGTATACGAGGTCATACTTTATAATACATCATCAACATAGGTATGACCTTAAGTTTCATAGAATTGATGAAAGATCTAAAAGCTTTGAATAAAATAGTAATTTAATTAATATTAATATTTTAAAATTAGCACTATTCGAACATTGTTAAGTAAAATAGAAATGTATTCATTTATATTCTAATTTTATGTACTTATAAACATAATATTATAATTTACATTTAATACTTATTTTATATATTAATAAATAAAAAAAGTCAGTTAAAGTTTAGATTAATGTTAAAAAATTATTGTTAAATTTCTAATCAATAAAACATGTACGTTTTTACAGTAAAAATTAATCATTTCAATAAAAACATTGTCTAAAAAACAAGAATTTAAGCACTTTGAACATGTTGGTATAAGATATAAAGTAGTGAATACCTAATAATCATACATTTATGACCAATAATAAATTCTTGAATTCAAAAAACGAAAATAATAAGTGGAACTTAGCATAAATTACTCAAACGTTTTTATCTTCTAATGATCATAGATTTTTAATGTATAATGTTCGTATAATGGCGTGATGACTCTTATTCTACTAAAACAAACTGAAACGTATGGCAATGGTTATTTTCATAGAAAATTAACAACATTTGCAGTTTATGGTTAATTTTTCCAAAAGCAGCTTGAAATTTGTTTCAATTTTAGTTTTAATACATTTCTTTATCTAATTTTTTTTTCTGTGAACATTATGTCAGATGTTAAAAAAGCTTCACATAAAGTTTAATGTAGTATTTAATAATACCAATATTCAATTTGAAGCTGAATCTAGTTTTTACTTTAAAAAAGTGATTTAATTTATTTTTGTTGTAGTTTCTCTTTAAGTAAGATAAAACCAGGTAGGGACAATTTATACCTACAAATAACCTACGTAAAATATTATAATAATAATATAATAATAAAATATTATATTATAATTATAATATTACTATAATATTATTATAAACATCACCCTGCGTGTAAAGGTAGGGATTTCAAGGAGTGTAAGGGACGTAAATTATGTTTACTTAAAATTTTTAATCTAATACTATTAGGTAATAAATAAATAATATATCAATGTGTAAACTAGTTTATTCATGAATTACTAATAATCATGGGACATGAACTGAGATATCTAAGTTCGTGGTAATAAAAATTGTATTATATTATTTTCAAAAGTTTGAAATTTTTGAAATTATTGTTTTCTACCTATATTAATCTTTAATAATTTTTAATATTTTTCTCTTATTTCAAACGATGCTCATTTTAAATCAAATTATTTTTCTGAAAAAGTATAATAAATAAATTAAAAATCATAGAATGTTAAATATTAAATTATTTATAGTTATAAATTATAATATATATGATATCCAATATCTAAATACTGTAACGGTTTGACGACGTTCACTCTACATGATGTCCCATAGGGCGGTTCTATTTCCTTCAAAAACGAGATACTGTTTTCCCCCACTGTCCATTTTCTTCCAAAAAAAAAGGTTGGTTTCCATTTTCCTCCACATTGTTTTCGACAAAATTATGTTATTTCCCTTTAATAACTTAGCCAGTATTGGAGTATTACGGTTCTTTATTATAAATATAGGGTCAGATTTTGCACTTATTGATTGATGATAACATACTGGTATCGACTATCTATATCAGCTATCGAAAAACTCTAGTCGGAGTGTTCTGCAACAGCACTGCTTATTTAAAATTGTAAACATAATTAAGCCTTATAAAGATAAGTACACATAACATGTAGACGATATAATCATATAATATTAAGACTATATTTTTAGTAGCGTATTGTAATTAACTTTTATCATCTCAAAAAATTGGACATCTACTGAAAACCTTTTTTTTTTTAGTCGTCATAAACATAATTTATGATAGTATGATTAATGATTATAAATAATTATTTTTTATATTAGTTTATTACTATATTTCTGATAATACAATAAATAAGTAAAAGTAAATAAAATAAATTAATAAATAAATAATTAATATAATAAATTAAGTTAATGCATATTAATTAAGTGCTACTCTTTGCTATTTTTAAAGTTATATTTTTTTATCACTTTTTGCCACCTTTACAAGCATATAACCGCTTTTAAGATTTGAAAATTTTTAATAATCTATAATATATCCTAGACAGATAAACAGTCTCTGTTCAGAATCGTTTTTCGTATACAATGATAACTATTATTGCATTCAAATTTAACCTACCCTAATCAGAGGTCCACCCCACCCCCTATTGTACAGCAGAGCGATACCCACTCACCCGCTTTTTATTTTATTGTATTTTATTAAGTTATTATATTCTGTCCACTCGATGAATAAAATTGTCAACTAGGTATACTAAAGTTCACTATAAAATAGGCTGGAATGAACTAAATTCGCCAATCTATACTGCATATGGATTTTGTATTTTTATATGTGGAAAAACATTAAAACGTTGAACTTATAGCGATAACATACCATAGTATTATTGCTCTCTTATCCGTTTTCGATAAAATCATTATGGATCAATAAATTGTCGGCGAATCGAGAAAATTGAAAATGTATTAATAATTGGTCAGCGAACCGATACGTCGGCAAACTAGACTGTCGGCGAAAAGGGAATACTTAAAAAATATTTTGAAACTGGTTTCAGCAAACTGAGTTTTCGGCAAAGTGGGTTTGAACCAAGAAAAATATTTTACCACTTTATTTCTCAATCAAAAACTAATAATGATCCTTACAAAAACGTATCAATAAAATTAATCAATAATCGTTTTGAACATAATAGAAACCTACCTACCGTAGATTACCTACTACATCAAATTCTAAAAAAATGTCCTTAAAATGTTTAAGGAAAAAATCAATACTTATGCTTATTTTTTTATTTTGGGATAGCAAAACACTTTGAATTATTAAATACAAATCTATAACACTGCTTTCAACAAAAACAAATAATTTATAATTTAGAACATTTTATCATGCCAAGTTTTGTGTTAACCTTGATACCAATGATTATCATAATTTATGTTTAATTGTTTATTTGTTTCAGTTACGTCCCCGAGTGTTGGATGTCAGGTAGTGTCTTCTATCAACAGTTCAACGATGATCACTGCTTCAGTCTTGTTATGGAACGTGTTCAGATAGTCTGAATGTGGACATGCATACATATATATATATATATTATGAATCTTGTATTTCACACTTTTGCATGTAAATAAAAGTTTAAATTGTAAAAAAAACACATCGAATAATACTGCAAAGTGGTAACAAAATATTGCCACATGACAGAATTCAAAAAAGATACAACCAGCGTGATATATATTTTTTTTAAAGTAGAGTGAATTCGATTGTGTGTTAAATATTATTATTTATTAACTTATTTTTATCTTTTGTCATTTTTAGATTAGAATAAATGTTAACAAATAAAATGATTATTTATAACTACAACTAAGAAATGCATATATATTATTATATAGATTATGTAACCATTTTAATAGCAAAATTACACTTTGCTAATTAAAATAAGTTTGGATCCAAAAGGAAAATTCAAAAAAGTTTATAACTTCACGTTGGACTTTGAAAATTTATCTAATATTTAATAATCCATTAGCATCTAATTTTGCTTTGACGCTTGTTTGCACAGTTTTAGTTTTTGATTTTAAAAATGGAAGTAAAGTTATAACACTATAATTTTTACAAAATATCAAAAAATGTAACTATAAACACCCTGAATTATAAATTGTTTAGTTATTTAAAGAAATAATTTTAATAACTTTATTAATTAAATCTATGAAAATGTGTATAGTATTGTTATTATTCATAAATATTATCGAATGTATTTGTTAAAAAAGATATTTTAAAGTATATAGGCACTTTTGATGTTAATATACATCTAATTGATATTCGTGTGTTTATCTTTTGTTAAGTTATGATCGATTCTTTGTAATAAWTATTTTATAAAATCAGTTAAAAATAAGATTACTAAATCTTCTAAAAATTGCATTCATGTTCTATTTTATTTATGTATTTTTTATTTTAAGCCTATTCAACATTTTGGTACCTGATACGTTTTTTTATTTTTAAAATTTTGAGTGCCTACTTAAGTGTTGTCACTTTGTTACACCAGTATTTATTTTAAAAAAATATAAGAAATTATAACAAATTGTTATTCATAATTCATGAATTAAAAGTTATACCTCTTTCAATAAAATAATCCTAATATTTTTTAGTGTTGTACTTCAATACTTACATTATATTTTACAGTTTATTACTTATTTCAGAAAAAAAAAAATTAAAAAACCTCGAAATAAATGACATATTTATACTAAATATAAAAATATAACGTTCATTATAAAAAAAATAGTTGTAAAAAATTTAGCATTCTCACCAGGATTTTGTATTAATTCAAAATTAATTTTGTTTACTTATAAATCAATTATAAATTATATAAATCAAATTAATATTATGAATTAATCTTAAGCTTTTTGTCGGAGTAAAGATTTAAAATCAATTAATAAATTATTAAATCCTTTTACTTCTTCCTAAAATCTAAAAATTATTTACAACAGTTGTATAAAACACAAAAAAGGTTCAACCCAGAAAAGTGGATTCGAGTAACTGGTAAGTACCAATAAATGGTTAAATACTTTCACACTATTTTAAAGTTAAGTTTATAAGCTTCAGTAGACATAAAAAAATATTGATTGATACCTGTTTAAATGGTTTAAAACAGTGTTCCGATTTTATTATTTTTATTTCTCTGACTTTTTTGTTAACTCTCAAAAGTTTCAGGAAGATGAATTAAATTACGTATATGCCTTTTATTGGAGTGATGGACTATGTTTTTATTATTCATCAAACATTTTTCCCTATAATATTGTGAGTATATTAATTAGTATTTATACTAAAATATCTTTGTCTTTTACATTGAAATATTAAACATAATATTATACAGCTTTGTACTTATCAGATGAAATATTATTAAGCCATTAACATCTACAAATGTAATTGAATTTAATCTGTATGCGTGATACAAACTAAAATCAAAAAGTTATAATTACTAGCTGAACCCATGTACTTCATATCCCGTTTAAAATCTTACCTCTTAAATATCTCAAACTATGTGTTAAATTCGTTTTCTGTGATTATGTGAGCAGTATATTTTTATACATATAAAAAGATAATGGTTAAAATATACTAATTAATAATCTTACAACGATATTCAATTTGATTTACAATTATGTAATTTTATTCATTAGTCTTTATATAATATATACATAATATAGATAATAATAAATAATATTAATAAAAGAAAAAAGCAACCATCTATAAACAAAAATGTCCATAGTGAATTTCAAAATGTTTGTTTGAGCACCTCTCGGGGTTAGGTCCATCGCTATTTGACTAAGCCTATCTTTTTCTCATGAGTCTAATATAATATCTTTGTACCAAATTTTCGTCACAATCGGTCCATCTGTTTAGGAATGCATACAAGACAGACAGACCAACAGAAATCCATATACACACATTGGAAACCTTTTAAATGATTAGTGTTTCTCTATTATATTATGCATGTCATATAGGTACACATAAACCTTTCTGTTGAATCACTCTATCAATTTAAAAGAATCGCATCAATAGCGATTGGGTAGTTTTAAAGATCTAAGCATACAGACACACAGGGACAAGCTACTTTGTTTTAATATAATATATATATGTATATATATTCTTTTATAAAATAATATATATATATATATGTATATATATTCTTTTATAAAATAATAATCATTCAAAAATGCTTAAGTTAAAATATTGAATCAAGTATTTTTGTAAAAATCCATGTATTGTGAAAAATTAAATGTTCAAATGAAAAGTGTATCAGCTGTTGTGCTAACATAGATTTGATATTATAGTTAATATACTATATATATACTATAATATACTATCATTATAGCTTTAAAATAAGAAAACCAGCTGCCAAGTTCATCGATCACATTTTATAAAAAAAAAAATAATAAAATAATATTTCGAATTCTGAACGGAAAGAGAATGATATTGGTTTTACAACGATGTGTATTTTTTTCTATAAACATATTTAAGGGTGGTAAACGTGGTATAAATGTTTTGTGTAGCATGTGCATTAGATTGTAAAATGAGTGTAAATTAATATATTTATATTATACTGCATGATGTCATCACTGTAAAATGTTTATAAATTTTCAAGAAAATCATGAAATACAAAAAAAGAAAATATCATACTAAGTACATATTTATTTATTGATAAAAACTATGATTTAAAAATATCTTCGCTATTTTTCAAACGTAAAAAAATATCAACCTTAGTAGTTAGTAGTTAAACTATTAATACGTTATATTAGTTTTCAAATTTCGAAATAAAAAATGAATTTTTGCTTGTATAATATAGATTTGTACCTCAATAAAACTCTGTCTAGGTATAGTTTTACTGTAAATTAAAGGCAGACAAATTAATTTTGAATTCTATAAAATACATTGTTTAATATTACTTAGTAACTAGTTTTTTTTTATATTTACTATAACTTATCTATTTGCTTACTTTTTTAAGTATTATTAATTTAAATTACATCTCAGTACGAGCATCGCAGTAGATTCCATAAAAAATTTTTTCTTAAAGAATAGATCTAACAAAATAATTTAAATTGCGTTGTATATTTTGAAAAACATGTTTTATAAAACCTAACATCAATATTAGTTTTAAAAGTTCAGTGTTTCAAGTGTTTGATTATAATTGTAATACATCTAGGATTCCAAAAGCAACACACTTATGTACAATTATATTTTTGGATTTAGCTGAATCTGGCCAAGGTAACAAAATAAATCCAATTAGTCCAATTAGTCGATAAGTTAATAAATGATTAAGGTTCAAAGTACAATAGTGATCTTTAATTAATTGTTATTTTTTTTTTTACCTTGGATTCAACGATATCAAAGTTAACACTAGACCCTGGTCTTTACAATTATTGGAAAAATAGTAAAACCACCAATACATTGAGGAGCTATATCTCACAAACCAATCATCGAAAAATAAAAACTTTAACACATAAATTCACGAAAAAAATAAAATGGTTTTATTAATTCATGAAATTTTAATTATATGTTACCATTTGAAAATCAAAAGTTTATAGTGGTTTCAACAATAAATATAAGGATGAAAAAAATTTAAATATTATACGGTTTTAGAATAACATAAATCTAAAAGTTAAAAAAAAAATTCAAAAAAAGCTAATACTTTTCGAGATAATTAGTGTACCTACCTAAATGTACCACTCTGTGTATAAATATAAAATATATAATAAATAATTTAAATTCTATAAGGTACTAACACATTAATACATTAAAATACTATTTTTGTTAGACATCAGAGTATTACATAGGGATTATAATATAATATTATGTAAAAAGCTTAAATGTATTAATATGCCTAGAACGGTTCAAATGTCATTGGTTCGTCTGAAAACTCTACTTACTAATTTATAGTTGATGTCATATTTAGTGCCGAAAGTTAAAATAATATTGTTCAGTGTGGTAAATTTCAACTGTGCATAACTATAGGGGATTAAAGGGCACTGTGATATCCAGGTCTAAGGACACAACAATAGTCCCATTCAAAATTTCAATTTATTTTGTGATCTGAGAAAATTTCATTTTTATTTCTTTTAAATATTTCATAACTTATAGATTTGTTAACTCTTATTGCTAAATTCTCACAAACTCAAAATATGAACACCTAAAAAAAATATCAAACTTTCATTTTTAGACTAAACAAGTGATTTTTTTCATCTGTTGTTTTTTCGTTTGGTGGAAATGAGATTTAGTGCGGAAAGAAAAAATTGGATTTTGTTAGAAAAAGTTAATACCCTTTTTAATATTACTGATATATCTTATTGCGTAGATATTATAAGCCATAAGTCTCAAAAAAAATCTTTGTTCAGAGCAAATACCACAATACTGTGTAGGAGAGCTGTATATTTTGCTTTGGGCGAAATAAAATATTCCGAAGTTACGCTTCTGCGTCTCAGAGTTTAGTACAACTGAATAAGCTATGGTTGTATATAAAACGAGGTGACCTATACCGAAGGAGAGATAATTATTGCACTGTGTATTTCGTATGTCAATTTAATAAATGTTGTAAATAGGTTAGATACTCCAACGCAGTATGAAACTTCAGAAAATATAAAGTTCACTGTATAAAACAGCACATCAGTTTTTATTATCTTTGTATCCTAAACACGTAATGCAACACAAGAACTCTCTATAAAACAGAAATGCCAAAGTTTCGATTTATGTATCAAAGGACTACATAAATAGGTAAGTTTAGTAATAAT